TCTAGTTTAATAATAATAATATTGATGTATTATCTTTCCTTCTTCCAGTTTTGTTTCCTGTGTTTAGCATCATCTTTTAGAATTAATGGAACAAATAAGGAGTGAAAATAGAACAATCCAAGCCTGACTTATTAAAAGGGCACCCATAACTCTGCTGTAGAATGAACGTAATTGGTCAACGGGGGATGAATGGTTGGTCACTACTGGCTTGTCAGCATTTGGAATCACAGATCAAGGCGTTGGTTAATGGGATTCTCTGAGTTTCCTTTAACTTTTTGGCTTTAAAATCAGATTTTTGTGAATAACTTTATTCCAAATTATCAACGCAATGCTGGGTGCATTGAGGATGTCTTGATTTCAGTTATTTAAGTTGAAATTTGTTAATGTTTTGTCGGTATACTTCCCCTAGGGTTGTGTGACAAGGCATAGCTTGTTGGTAATCCAACCTCACAATGCATTGGGAACACTGAAAAGGTTTCATCTGTTGATTCAAACTGTTCACTGAATATTGAGATAGTAATGACTTTTTTGTAAGTAATCTTTCATTTGGTTCTAATCTCTCAGTTTGGACAAAAATAAAATTCTTTGTTCTTCACCAATACATTCTTTGGACACCTCTGAAAGTAATAAAATGTAATGTGAGCAAAAGACTGAATTATTGAAAGAAAATCTGGACATGATATTGGTTTTGCATGCAGTGATAGTACAGACTCAATGTGTTCCTTTCCTTGAGCAGTGCTCAGTGTGCTGCCATGTGAGATGTCACTTGTCCCAAGTCTCAGTGTGCTGCCATGTGAGATGTCACTTGTCCCAAGTCTCAGTGTGCTCAGTGTGCTGCCATGTGAGATGTCACTTGTCCCAAGTCTCAGTGTGCTCAGTGTGCTGCCATGTGAGATGTCACTTGTCCCAAGTCTCAGTGTGCTCAGTGTGCTGCCATGTGAGATGTCACTTGTCCCAAGTCTCAGTGTGCTGCCATGTGAGATGTCACTTGTCCCAAGTCTCAGTGTGCTCAGTGTGTTGCCATGTGAGATGTCACTTGTCCTAACTCTGATGCTGTAATCCTGCTGATCAGAGAGTGCTTTGTGAATCAACTTCTTTAAAGAACTGCATTAATTATCTCAGTTGCGTCTGTGGGAGAGGAGCGGACGTCGGACCCCACAGTTCTGGGGTAAGTTGTGTTGTGGGTCTCATTTCAAGCTTTCCTTCCTAGCTACAACACTGTCCAAACTGAGGTGACCTCTAAAGGGCTTATCCAGTCCTCAGGTCGATGGTCAATCCCATTTTGATCTTTTGACCCTCATTTCTTTTGTCCCATCTGAGCGATACTCTTCATACAGCCCATCTCTCTTGTTTTCACTCATAGCATTTAAATAGGCTACATAAGCAACGCATCCAGTCAATGCAACCAGTCCAAACGCCATGACATACTTGTTCTGTAGAGAATAAAAATTGAAAACATCAATTTACAGATTTCATTAATGAAGAAGGTTGTTACAGATACAAATGTTATTTGAGTTGACAAACATTGCTTTTCCAGTATATTTAAAACTGTGACTTAGGTGGACAGCTTTCAGACAATTTTTCACCTGCGTGCACTTCTAATCTGCAGACGACACTTGGAGATGTGCAATTCTCCCAAGAATTTGTTGAAAAATACAGTGAAATGTATTTTCAGTTTTTTATCATAATTTGAGCATTTCCAAATTTTCAAATACAACATAGTTATGTAAATTTAGTAAGTGGTTTTGAAATATTTACTGCTTTGTTTGTCAATTTACAGATTTCTTTACTGAAATGTTATGAAATAATGGTTAAAAAGTCAACCTAAGTTGTTTATGAAATGTTGTGAGTATAATCCCATAATCTCCCTTTCTCTAAACAGAAATGCTGCATCAAAGGCAAAAGGCTGAAATGGAGAGGTTCTAAGATTAATTGGCTTTGTTTAACCATAAACTACAAAACCGGCAGCCTTCCTGACTGCAATTTCAAAACTTGTTGTATTACTATTAATCGTTAAATAACAATTATGATTACCTGTAGGATTCTTTGAATTGAAAGAAAAATTATCAACTGACCTGTCGAGCAAAGAGTTCAAAGTTGACAGCTCGAAAGAGGCTCGTTGTTCGGACAGTTCTGAGTCCATCTTGACCGCCTTGCTGGCCTTTTGGTGGGCTCTGCTGTCTCTCTGCCATAGCTTTTGAGATCGAATGTCTGTGTTTGCATTAAACCCTCTGTGGTCAGAGTTCGAGACCTCCACGGGCCACACTCTACAGTCGTCAGTTCTGTGTACTGTGTTTACTCAGTCCGTATACAACTTTTCTCCGACGTTAGTTTGTTACAGATACATATGTTATTTGAGTTAAAAAACATTGCTTTTCCAGTATATTTAAAACTGTGACTTTGGTGAACAGTGGTCTAGTTTCTGCGCGCACTTCTAATCTGCAGACGACAGTTGGAGATGTGCAATTCTCCCGAGAACTCGTTGGAAAATATAGTGAAATGTATTTTCAATTTATTTTATTTTATTGTAATCTGAATATTTCCAAATTTTCAAATACAATACAGTTATGTAAATTTAGTATGTGGTTTTGAAATGATACTTATTGCTTTGTTTAGATCCTTACACTTCTCGTTTGCGAAAACAAACGAGATTCTGAATTACCTTAAATCAAGATGGCTGCTGCCTATCCCATGCTCAAGAAACGTAAAACAGCTTTGCCAAAAAAGACAGTAGAATATCCAGTAAAATATCCCGATATTAGCATATTTATTGTTGAAAGAAAAATACAACGGGTACGACTCGATCATATTAAGAATCTAGCACGGAAGAAGGGGTTTCCAGTCAGCGAGACATTGAAGTGAGATTTTATATTGCTTAATTACCTTTGCCAGTAACGATATTACTTTTTCTCAGAAACATTCTAAATAAATACAAATATCAAAGATAAGTTTGCCTAGATTAATCTGTACAAAATATTGCTGAACATTTCATTTTCTTTTTGTAATTTGTGGCTTTTGAAGTTTTTAAGGGAAAAGTCCAGAATTACGGTCATGCTAAATCGCCTCAGTTAAGTTATGTCACGATCACTCCGTGACAATTCTGGCGGTCGGCGTGACGTCACTATAGACTTTTAACACATGATAAAGGGGCAAATTTTGTGCTGTTCAATAATGTAAAGAAGTTCCCGGATGTCCAACCACAAGAATGCGTAAGAAGAGGTCTGAATTCCATCTCATGAATATAAATGTAGTGTCAATGAAGGATACAGCCTTCATGGCCTTACAGGGCTAAGTAACACAGAGCCAGATGAAGATTTGCCAGGGTAAAATTTCAAAGTTTAGAGTCCAAAACACTCATTATATATGTTCAGTTGAGGTATTGGGCCCAATTTCGTGACGCTGCTTACCGTAAGCGAAAAAGCGGTGTTTACTGCAGCAGAAAATTCTGTGCTCACAGCGAACTTATTTCACACGTTAGCAAGGAATTTTGGCTTGTGCGCTTGTGTACATCTAGTAACTAAGGGTTCTGTACTTAAAAGGTTAACACAGAATATTTCTGCTTGCATGGTTAGCATAGAATGGAGATCATAAGCACAAGATTCTGCTGCAAGCAGCGCCATGAAAGTGGGTCCTGATCAGCTGATATTGTGATAGTGGTACAACAGCAAAAACATGTAATTACATGTACAAGTATTATTAACACCGTGAACTGGTAGAACATCCGCTGCCTTAGTGCCTTTACCATAATATGCTTTGATTTCTTTATGTTCATCACCTGTCACCCAAAAGGGGGAAAGAGATGTGGTATCTCTGCCTTTAACATGCAGGAACTGATGGGAAGCCAGGATTGTGTGTGTGGGGGGGTCTAGCCTTATCTGAAGTTACCGCCAGAATTGTGGGATTCATTGTCCACTGCACCAAACCAGTTCTTGGGAATATGGTGGAAGACGAACCCCAGAGTTCTACAAGTAATCTCAAGTCTGGATATACCAGTAGTTACGCTAGCTGCAGTCATCATAAAACTAATGAGCACAAGTGTTTTGAAATTGGATATAACGTATGATTAGTACATGTATGTATGTATGTATGTATGTACATGTATGTCTTTTTTGTGCTTTTCAGTGAGTCAATCACTCACATTGTTTCAGAATTGGAGACCAGAGACGAAGTTTTAGATGTCTTGAGAGGCAGACAGTCACATGAGATTGTTCAAAGTCTCTGCAAAGAAGCTGAGATTGTATCAATGGAATGGTTTACTACCTGCATGGAGGAAGGTCTTCCGGTGCCAGTGACACATGGTCATAGATTGAAAGTAGAAGCCAAGGTATTTTATAGCAGTTCAGCAAGAAGTTCCCTTGGCCTCCTTCATCCACATTACTTGTCCCATTCCGACCCCTCCTGCCACACCCTCTGAATAGTCTTCCCAATCCTGATATATCAGTAGCAAGTTGTACAAACCCTTGTTAAATTCAAAGTCAGCAGAGCAAGTGTGCACACAGTTTGTCTTTATATTTTACCGTGAGGAACACCAAAGATCCCTTCAGCCAATCCCTGCACTCCTCCCAAAATATCAGCAGAACTAACAAATCACAGGCATACATGTATGCAGGTAAGTACATGTATTGTGCTCAATTTTCACCAGTGATGCTGTCAACTCGAGAAATCAAGAAATTTGGCAATGGACTATTGTTTCCTCATAAAGGGAAGTTTTGGCATTTAAAATTATAATGAACCACTTGTTCATATCACCAGACCTGCTTTTCTAAAATTTTCAGGGTAAATGTTTTTGTTTTTGCAGGTTACAACCATAACATCATTGCCGTCAGTTTTGATGACATGCTATCAAGATGCAAAGTACTCTTGTCAACGGATCACCCCATTGAATCACCATAACAAGACATTCACAGTAAGACACCTTGGGTTTTCAAGGATTACAACGCCTGGTCATTTACATAGGGCTTTTAATTCAGCAGACTTTAAACTTTCTTTTCTTTGGATTTTAGAGTGCCCTTAAAAAGCTTTCAACACTGCTTTAGATACATTGTTGGATGATGAATGAAAAATGTTACATGTAACTACATCTAAATTCCAATCCAGGATGCACTTGAAATCTTGGAGAAGCATGCAGACTTTCTCGGGGGAGACAACAATGCATCACGTGCTCTAGCATTCCGCAAAGCATCTGCTGCCCTCAAGGCCTTACCAAGACCAGTCAGGAGTATGAATGAAGTTGACAACCTCTGTGACCTGAAAGGTGGCAGACATTGCAAAAGAGTTGTCCAGGTACAAGACCTGCCCAAGCCCAATGATTTGACACGCTGTCAAGGCACTAAAATCTTGAGAACCATCAACAAAGGGATAGGATGATAAGCTTGTAGATGATTAGCACAGTTTTGGAGAGGTCATAGTTCCAACCTGATTTCTGTGAACTTTCAATCTTTATAGCCCATCTGTTCTATTGGTTCATGGACATAGTTGAATTTCACCAAGTTTAAAGGAGTGAGGATTGACCAAGATGCTAAGCTAGAATCAGATGCCTTTTTATTATTTTTGTCCCCTGTGTTTTCATCAGGAGATTCTGGAAGAAGGATTCTCCTCAGAGATTGAAGACATCTTGAATGATGTGTGGTTCCAGACCATGAAGGTAGGTCAAGTGTGACAGCTACCAGTGCACTATGCATTGTTTGGGACCTAACCATTGTTAAACCAAAAAGGTAAAAACACCCATCAAAATATACATGGATTAAAACTTGGCTATGTTAGCTCACAATAGGCAGAGTTGTAGACTCGAGTCACTCTGTTACAAGTCGGACTCAAGTCGCTTTTTGTGACTCGTGACTTGACTTGTAACTATCAATTTTTGACTCGTGACTTGACTTTGACTTGCATATTAGGACTTTTTACCAACGCAAGTCAGAAAACTACTCAATCGAACCCATTAAAGTTTTAAATTAGGTCTATCAACTTATGCCTTGCGTTCTTAACACCATAAGCACACATCTTGCAACTTTACTTGTACTTGGATATTATGGCTTGCTTATGTTCGGACCAATATGATTTGTGACTTGACTCGACTTAAATGACTTGTGACTTGGCTTAGATTTGCAAAAATTGACTTGTGACTTGATTTGGACTTGCAAATATTGACTTGCTACCACCTCTGAGAAAGAGGATACTGGCATTGTACATCTTCCAAACATATAGAGGGTTACCTTTAGCAGCATTGAAGAATGTTTTACATTGAGCTTATTTCCCACTTTTATGTTGAATTAAATAATTTGATCAGCACAAATAATCGATTTCTTTATGTGTGCCATTTCACTGACATCTACTGCTATTTTTCTTCCAGCTATTTACAGGCATTTTTGGTTGCGGGGCGGCAACTAGTCGAAAGTGGTATGACATGAATCTGAGAAGTTTAGAAGATATCAGAAACTGCCCAGAGGTCAACTTGACTACAGAGCAAAGATATGGTAAGTGCCTTCACACAGCTCCAGAGGGGATAAAATTATGAAAGGGGGAAATAGTTTGTGCCCACTTACCTGTGCAGCCTACACAGTTTACGTCAAGGTATAGATAACTGCTCATACTGAAAGCCGAGTTTTATGTTTCATTTTTATTGTTTTCCCCTTATAAAACTCAGTCATTCCACTTGCTGTCCCCTAGGCCTTGACTTCTACGATGATATCAATACTCCAGTTACTAGACATGAAGCAGAGGTTATACAGCAGATAGTTGAAGCAGAAGCTGAGCAGATCTTACCTGGAGCCACAGTCACAGTCACAGGAGGTTTTAGCAGGTCAGTTGTCTGTTGGTCTGTGAGACTCTCTGTCTGTTTGTCTTTATACCTGATATCAATTTTGTTAGTTTGAAACCTTTTATTTACTAAATGCTCTTAGCATATTTTTTGTGTAAAAACTTGCCGTAATCAATTTTGTTAACTTGAACGACCACTGTCAACCAATCAGATATATCTAGACACTGATATTTCCCATCTCTATCATCAGAGGGAAGGGCACTGGTCATGATGTAGATCTTCTTATTTCTCATCCTGTGGAGGGCAAAGAGGAAGGATTACTGGCTCAAATCCTCAATGCCTTACACAAGAAGAATTTTCTTGCATACACGGATGTTCACAACAGCTCTTACAGCGAAGCAGCAATTAGACAGGTGAGTTTCCTCTCAGGATGAGTTTTATTTCTTGTCATTTTGGGATGAAACCAGGTCACTTTCACCTACATTGTACTTGACCTCCACATAATAACTTGTAAAAATAAGCAGTGTTTTGCCTGTGTGGAAGTTTGGAACTTGATATTCTGAGGGGGAAGTTACTCTATCAAGATACTTTCCCCCCAAAATAGAGAGTTACCTTTATGAATTTGCAAGGTTATATTAGGTATTTGATGGCTATGATCTCTCTCCAGAGATCTTGACAACCGCCCAGAGAACCAGTTACACTTGATGCACAGTGCCGATGTGCTAATTTACTCTTAATTTCTGTGGCAATTACATTTCAGATCAAACGTAGTCAGGTCATGGACCATTTCGAGCGCTGTTTCAGTATATTTCGCCTACCAAGACACCTGACAAGAGATGATGGTAAACTCAGTACTGACGGTCACAAAGAGGAACAAACCGATCCCAGTAAAAGCCCACATGAAAGAACTACTGCAAGGACAATATTGCCACTCGACGTAGCCTACCGAGACACAGAAAACTTTCCTCAGGAAACTCTGGAGAGAGATCAAAGCAACAGCAATAGGAGCACTGCTGGTAAGAATGCTAGCACTGAGTCACGGCATGTAGGAACATCATCAGGTCGAAAGCAGATACTCCGTGTTGATCTGGAGGCGGGAACTCTTAGAGATGGAGGTCGGAACTGGGTGGCTCGACGAGTAGATCTGATCATCACACCACAGAGTCAGTATGCATTTGCTCTCATGGGATGGATAGGATCACGGATGTTCAACAGATCAATCAGGGACTACGCTAACCGGGAGATGAACATGACGCTGACAAGCCATGGATTGTTTGATAAAACAAAGGTAAGCTGAACTCAGAAAGCTAAGTACACACTCTTAATTTCTAAACATCCAACAGCGCATTCCGTGACAATTGTACATGAAGTGACAATGTCAGAGGACAATGAAAAAATGTATCTCAGTTTTAGAGTTGGAGGAAAACTTCCAGTAGGTATTCCAGGGAAAATAGAGGGAATCAGGCGTGGACCGAAAACCCAATCCACATGTTGACCTAAAGTGGGATGCAAACCTGGGTCACAGAGATGGAAGGCAAGGAAAGAGCCACTTCACAAATTTAACTCCACATGATGTGGATTAACCACTTGCTGCTGGGTTTAATTTGAATTTGCAGGACGAGTTTCTGGGCGATTTTCAAGATTTTCCGTAACTATCAAAATTCTGCAAAAATTCATTACTTCATTTACGAGACATTTACACCCACATGAATGACTGTCTGGTGGCTACTTTAATCTGACAGGGCACCTTTATTGACTGCGAAGTATTTAAGCCAGGCCTGCCGCCTAGTAAAGAGAGCCCAGACCTGTTGTGTAACCCTTTGTTCCAGAAATTGGCCCAGTGCGTTGCTGAATGCCATTGGCATCTTATCAAATGGGGCCGGATTAGCGTGCAGCGTTACCGTATCGCTCATCACTGGAGTGCTTTTGCCCTCACTGATGATCTGCTGGCACTGAATACCACAGTGGTATACAGTTTGAAAACAATGAAACAGCTTGGTCTTTTGTTACGATTACGGTCTTTTTTGTTACAAGGCCCAGTTTTTTTGTCCGATTTCGGTTATCCCGGCTATGTATACAAACCCAAGGTGCCTGGCTCTGGAAACCCCGGAGGCAAGTGGTTAACACTGGCTGACAACTGCCGTATGATTGCTCACCACACAGGGTTAACCACTTGCCGCTGGGGGCTCCGGTAGCGGAGCCATAGGCCTTATATTCATGGCCGGGGTCTCCAAACTCGGACAAAGGGAACAGGGCCATGTAACAAAACACCGTACTCCAAACAAAAGACCAGGCTGCTGGGCATTACCGACATTTTTCACTCTCAAAAGTGGAGATAATCCAGCCTTGTTTTAAAACAGTATACCACGGTTTGAGGCATTTAGAGCGAACGTATTACCACCAGGGACAAAAGCGCTCCACCACCGCAGTGATGAGCCACACAGCACTGCTGCACGCTAATCTGGCCCCTGTTGAAAAGAGGTTAGCAGTGCACTGAGCCAGGTTCGTGAACAAGAGAAAGTTATTTAACACCGCACAATCTGGGCTCTTTTTACAAGGCTGTAGGCCTGGCTGAAACACTCGGGTGTCAATGAAG